TTTTTCTAAAAAAATCTCTTTGTTCACAAGTATTCAAACACAACCACCTTTTAAATCCAAATTTCAGCACCAACCGACCACTATCCACCACCATTGGCTGTCATTAGTTGATAGTCGAAATTCTTCCAAAATCCTCCTACTTACTCTTCACTTCTTCTTCTTCTTCCCACTAATCAGATTAAATTTTCTATAAAAGATTTAAGAAATTTTAGATCTAAAAACTAGAATAAAAATTTTTTTACTGCCAATGGAGCTTCATATCATCGTCCAAATCTCCCAAAACCATAAAAAGTCTCTTTCTCTACCCCTCTATAATATTGTCTTTTTAGAATCTAGCTAGAGTCTATGCCCTTTTTAAATTGATAGATAATTACAAACATTGGAACCACACATAGTAGAGCATAAATAGAACTTAAAGCTGTAATTACACAAATTTTCTCATTTTGAAATTTAGCTAGACCCTAGGCCTTTTTGATCGTGCAGAAAAAAGGTTTAATCAAAGGGTTACCTTTCAATACCATGACACCTATTGATAAAATAGAATTAGATATGAAGTAGATTTCCTTTCTTTAACTTCGAATTGGGTTTTTCTAAAAAGAAAACAATTTACGATGCTAGCAAACAAATAAAAATTTGAACAAGAAAATAATACACAGAAATGACAAACACCCGTTAACCTAACTTGACTATTACATGATAGAAAGAGAATTTAGTGAAACTTAAAATGGGAAAAACCTTAAAAGAACAAGAGGGATATAGAAAAAATGTTAGCAAAGGAAGATAAAATGGAAGCAAATGGTCAAGGAGGAGTAAGTAGATTTGCCATAATAAACAATCCAATTATTTCAAGAGAGAGAAAAAAAAAAAGAAGCAAATATTTTGTTACCAATAATGGAAAGATGATTGACATAGGATTGTTATGAAGAAATGGTCACTAAAAAATGGGTTTAGGATGAAGAAGTGATTATTAAAAATAAATGACCTTGGGATTGGTGATAAAGAAAAGGCCATTAAAAAATATTTAGGATTAAGAGTTCATTTGGATGGATATGAGATTAATTTTAGTAAGATTAAAAATAACAATAAAAATTAAATTAATTATGATAATGATGGTAAGATTAAATATGATAAAATGACCATTAAAGATATATATTAAAATTTATTTGTAATAAAAATTTTAAATTATTTAATATTTTTAAAATTAATAAATAATTAAAAAATATTAAATTATTTTTATATAAATAATAAATAATGAGAGAGTTCATAAACATAAATAATTTGAAAATTTTAAATAAAAATAAATTAACAAATTTAAAAAGTCAACAATATAAATTTATTTATCATTTAAATAATTAAAAAAATAATAACATGAAAAAAAAAAAAGAAAAACATAAGGACAAAAAAGGACACAAAGGTAAAAAGGTGCGGTGGAGTTGCTTACTGCACCTTTTTTCACTAGTAAAAAATTAATACTCCGGTGCAATTAGAATTGCACAACATATCATCCAATCAACGTGAAATGTTGTGATTGTAAAATAAAAAGAAAAGCATGAAATCACATTGCATTGATGCTTCAGTGAGATCCAAAGGGACCCTAAGAATGGATCATTAAAACATTAGGGTTTTATTAGTGAGGTGGATTTTTTAATCACGTCACCAAAAAACAAGCTATTTTACCAACAAAAGTTATGCCACATCATCTGGTCAAAGCCCATAGGTCAAATGCCACATCATATAATTTAATAGAAATATTTAACATTGTTTTTATGATTAGATTGAAATCCAAAATCCCTTAGAGTACAGATACTTTCAATATTGAAATTAATGTAAAAGGATTAAATCCATATTTGGTCACAAGTATAGGGATTTATGATACAATTTGACCTATCATTTGTATGGATGATGAGATTAATTTTTATGAGATTGATAATAACGGTGGCATTGAAATTAATTATTGTATGATAAGATTAATTATTGTAGTAAAAATATTAATTTTTATAGCAATTAAAATTAATAGTGATATATGTGTTTGGAAATAAATGCAAAGATAGTGATGGAATGAAGTATAGTGAGAAGAGAAAATAGCCATTAAAGATATTAGATTAAAATTTGTATATAATAAAATTTATGGTGTGTATTTGATATTTGTGAAATTTATAAATAATTAAAAAAATACTAAAATAATTTTTATATATATCAAATAATAAACTTTTTTATAATTTAAAGATAAAAAATGTTAGGATTTTAAAATTAGGGGCATTCTAGGAAACATATTAACTATTCAATGGTTGATGAGGTAAGAAAAAATAAATACTATGGAAAAAATTAACATGTAATTTATAAATTTCATAAGGATTTTTTAATCTAAAACTTAAAAAATTAAGGGTAAAACTGTGAACAACATAATTTAATAAAAATAAAATTGTCCAATTCAAAATTCAATGACCCACTAGACCACTCTTTTTAAGTAGAGTTTGGACCTATGGTGTGGGACAAATGATAGAATCTCATCTTTCATGTGTTACCCAAACATTAACCCCAATGCGATTAAGTACTTGTTTGGAATTCATCGAATCCCAATTGGAGTTTTGATTGCCATAGATAATGGTGCCAAATGCATCGAAGAGATCCAAATTGAGCATATAGGTGGCGTTATTGGTAATAGCCAGCCATTGGTCATTTTTGCTCTAGTTGTTTCATCGTACTAGTTTTTTTAAACTTTTTTTTTATCCTTGAAATTTAATTATAAAGACAAAATTGTCTTTATAAGTTTTCTTTTTTTATTTTTTCTTGTTTTTTTTATTTTGATTTTTTATTTAACAATTATAAAATAATAAATAAGTAACTTTTATTAGTATATAATAAATAAATTTTAATTATTTATTATCAAAAATATTATTTGATATAAAATAATTTTTAAATTAATTATTAATTTTATAAATTATAAATAATTTAAAATTTTTATTACATATATTTTTTAATTTAATGTGCTTAATGATCATTTCTCTTTTTACTACAATTCGCTTAATCGTTATCAATGTGTTTGCATCCAAATACATATCTTCATTATTGATTTTAATTTTTATCACTACACTAACTAATTTCACATTTACCGTTATTTTTAATTTCATCAAAGCTAATTTCATCGCTCATCCTAATGGACCCTAAGCCATAAAGTTACCCCCAACGTGCTGAACCTCTAGGTTTAGTGAAAAATCAAATGAGGCTTATGTGTACATAAATCTAGCCAAGAAGTATAGATTAAGTGCTTTGAGTCACATTTGTTGCATGTAAATTAAATTTAATGATTTGTTTTATTTATATCATATAAAATATTAAAATTTTTTTATTGGTATTATGTTTTATACAAAAATTACATATCTCATAATTTATGTTAATACAAAAAAATAAAATATATTTTTTGATTTTGTTAAACTTAAACTTATGTATAATTATTGTTAAAATTTTAAATTATATCACTTTTATTTTTTTTTATATCGTATTTATATTATATCATCATATTATATTTTAAATTACTAGATTTAATGTAAATATAAATGTAGCAATTATGCCATTTAACTCATTCGTGGCACACTTCAGCTTTATGTTAACTTTCAACCAATTTTAAAGGTAGATTTGATAATTTAAAATATTACAAGATAACATGACACAAACATAATATGAAAATAGGATATGAAAGTGATATGATTTAAAATTTTAATAATAATTAGATATAGGTTTAAAAAAACTAAAAAATTATATTTCATGGTTTCATGTACACATAAATTATGACATATAATTTTTATATAAAATATAATATAAATATACAAATTCTAATATTTTATATAATACAAAATATAAATTACCATATCTTTCTAAAGATCACATCCAAAATTATATCGTTATCAATCTACTAACTTGATGATACCCATGTTGTAGTCGTTTTATTACCTTCTTTACAAATCCTAATGTTTTTAACCATCCATGCAGCAGAATTTGAATATTTTATTCTTTATCAATTATCAACGGGGGTTGCTAAATGTACTCCCATTTTTTCTTTTCACACCGTAATATTTTTTTCAAAAATTTTTTGTAAGTAAAATTATTTAATTACTTATTTTCATAAGTTTTTGAATATCTATTTCCAATAAATTTTATAATTTTTTGAAAATAAAATTTCAAAAAGTTATATACCTTCACGTCTAAAAGGGTGAGATAGTGAAAATTTAAGAAAAATTATAAAAAAAATTTTAATAGAAATTTTTATTAATTAATGTAATAAAAAATATTATTAAAAAAATCATAAATTTTAAAATTAATAAAAAAATTAACTTCACTATTTTAACCTTATAGAAACAATAAAATTTTATGAAACCTAATTAAATAATTTATCTCTTGATGTTATGAGAGATAATGAAGGAATTAGGTCTGATCAATATTTGAAAGTTAAAACTCTTAAAAATTATACAAGTAATATTATTTAATATTGTATAATTTTATCAAAATTTAATATATTAATAGAAAAAATTTATCATTATAAAGAGATGGAAAGACTTTTCCAAGAAATTTAGTTTAGTTAGAGCTATTATGAAATTTTAATAATCAAACCAAGAAAAAATATTTATTAAAAAATATAAATTTTAAATATATAAAAAATATAAAAATAGAAACATTAATTTTTTTTATTAATTTTAAAATTTATAATTTTCTAATAATAACTTTTTTTCATTACATTAATTAATAAAAATTTTTAATGAATTTTTTTTTGTAATTTTTCTTAAATTTTCACTATCTCACCTTCCAAATTAAATTTTTGAAAAATTATAGAACTTATCAAAGATAAATATCTGAAAACTTCTAAACAAATAATTAAATAATTTTTCTTATAAAAAATTAAAAAAAAATTGGACTGTGAAGATATGAAATTCCAATATTCCCCTGCTCTTTTTCTATTTTATATCCGACCATCCTACTAAGAAAAAACAAGGAAAACCAAAATTATGATTTTTTCCTCCTTAGCACTCCATGGACTGGAGCTCCAGCTGCAAGTCGGCAGCTTGATTCACACTGGGGAAGCAATCGTCACTGGCGCTGGAAGGGAGGGCTCGGCTTGCGGAGCCATCGACGCGGCGATAGACCCTCGGGTGAGACTAATGTACATGGCTAACGAGGGGGATTTGGAAGGGATTAACGAGCTGTTGGACTCTGGTACCAATGTCAACTTCAAAGATACCGGCGGTCGCACTGCTCTCCACGTCGCCGCTTGCCAGGGCCTTACCGACGTCTTTCAGTTACTCCTTGATTTCGGCGCCGATGTCGGCCCCAGAGATCGCTGGGGCAGCACTGTAACTCTCTCCTTTTTTCGTTTTTTAAATTCTCTTTTTTTTTTTTTGTTTAATGTATTTTGCTGCTTGCAAAATACTTACTATAGATAATTAGTAATAGAAAGTAAAATTACTATTGATAAAAATCAAACAAATGTAGAATTGCTCTTTAAAATGTGAAACGATGCATTTTGTTATCCATTTGTTATATTTTTTAAGTTTTCAAAAATTTTGTTTGCTTTTAATTCCATCCCAAATACATATTATTTGCTTTTTGTTTTGATAGCTGGAAACAAAGTAGTAAAAGCAACAATCAAAAGCTAACCAAATTATTGTTTTTCTTTTTTTGGAGAATAATTGAATTGTGAATTATTTCATAAAAGTTGTGCTTTGATAAATAGAATCATTGAATGGATGATTTTGTTTAAACAGCTACTGGCAGATGTGGTTTACTATAAGAACCAAGACGTGATCAAGCTTTTGGAGAAGCATGGTGCAAAGCCTCCGGTATTTAATAAACCCTGTTGCTGCAGCTATTGATATTTTCTTTGATTTATCAAGTTTGATTTTTACATGATGTAGCTTCTTGTTTAAAAGGGTTTGTTTTTCTTTGATTTTAGATAATTCCGATGCATGTTCAAAATTCTCGTAAAGTGCCAGAGTATGAGATTGATCCTAGTGAGCTTGATTTTTCTGACAGTGTCAATATCACAAAGGTAATCTGTGAACCTTATTTTTTGTCTGTCAATTGTTGTAATGTACTATTGGGTATGTTGTGATATTACTTTAGGATTTTTTTTTTTTTACCCCTGTTTACATTATTATAGTACTAGTGGTGAGAAGTACATTTGTATGTTTGCCTGCTAGATTAAGGTATTAGGTTTTATCTTTGTCCAGAAAACTATAGTACCTTTTCTGTTTATTTACACTACAATAAGATTGTTCTTCTCCTAATGCTTTAAGACATGTATCCTTTACAATTCTAATAAGAATTTCCATATTTGTATTCTAACTTCAGAGTAACTCTCATATCACTGAGCCCACCCAAGAGACTTAAAAGCAGAAAAAGAAAAAGGAAATATTAAAGGAGGATAATGATGAGCATTGCTGTATTGCTGGACTTGTGCACCAGCTTCCCCATCTTTATGTCTAGAATCCAATTTGGTAAAATCTTTTTGTATGGGATACTATATTGATCAGGATCAAGCAGGCCATTTCACTAAATATTTGATTTTTTGAGTGTTAACACAGAGGACATTTCGCGTAGCATCTTGGCGGGGCGTTAAAGTTGCTGTTAAAACACTTGGAGAGGAAGTTTTTACTGATGAGGACAAAGTGTGGGTTGGTTTTAGCATCATTTGTGATTTTCTTTCTTTGTTTAAGTGTTGGTGCTCTATCTCCAATTTGTTTGTATTAAATCTAATTTTTGATGAAATGTTATTGATTGTTCCTTTTGTTTCTGGAGTTTTGATGTTTTGTTGGGATTTCAGAAAGGCATTCAGGGATGAGCTTGCATTGCTTCAGAAGATACACCATCCAAATGTTGTCCAATTTTTGGGTGCTGTAACCCAAAGCAGTCCCATGATAATTGTTACAGAATACTTATCTAAGGTTTGATCTTGTTCTGCTCTTGCTACAACACCAATTAGTTTGTTTTGTCACTTTGTCTTATTTAATAATTTCATTTTTGACCATATAATGGTAACAAGTTGCAGCTTTAGCTCCATAAGATCTTGACATGCAATTTACACGGTTTGCATTTGGCTCTTTGCTCTGTACCTTAAAAAAAAGATGGCACACTGCTAGCTTTATATATTCATAAAATTGTTTTTAGATACTTTTTGTTATTTACATAATTTTCTTAATACATATAAATTAACATATGAGTGTTTTTGATATGATTTTGTTAAAATGTAGAACTTAGTATGTAATTCCCATGTGGCTCTTGAGATTAATGAAATATAACATTATTAAGGAAATACTTGACTATATTTTTTGCATTGCTACTCAAGCAGTTTATTATTCATACACTAAATGTTAGTTATGTTCTTTGTAACCTATCCCTCTTTTTTATTGAATAGTTTATGAATGCACAGTGGATTGATTCTTAGTATACAAGGAAGCAAAACACCATTGTGATTTTGTGAATTATTAATTTATGAAAGTGAAGTAGCAGTTAAAGTTACACCTAAATTTTAAAGTAGTTTGGTAAGTTTGGCATGGCCTTTGGGACTTTCTCTCAACCAAGAGCTATTTGTGTAATATTTCTTTAATTGGAGCCAGTGTTAAGGGCATCTGAAATATTGTTTTACCCTGCTAAAGATTTCAGTATCACATTGAGATATTCATCTTTTTTTTTTTTTTTGGTTATTTCCTAATACTGCATACAGTTCTTTAATACTTTTGTTTCCACTTTTAGATGACATACACTTCTCTATTGTGTAGAGTATATGCTTGAGATTTCAAATTTACATAGACACGTTGACATGCTTACTTGTGTTTTATATTTAGTATTCTGAAGCTGCTGCATCTGTACTAAAGTAGGAATTTATGTCATTATTAGATAGCCCTAGGTTTAGAAGCATCTAACTTCCAATCTTTCAGGAAGAAAACGGCTTGACATGGTATTTCAAAATATATTCTATCCAGCAACAGTAATAGGATATCCGGATATGTATGACATCTGTTTTTGGGCCATTACATGAAATTTATATTAAATTGTTGTACTTTGATTTTTTAGCGTGAGGGTATCTTTGTTCGACATTTATCTGTACCAACTCGGAATGTTAGATTCCCTCCTCTTTAAGAGGGAGAAATTTATGTCATTTATCTGTACTAAAGTAGGAATTTGTCATTATTAGATAGCCCTAGGTTTATAAGCATCCAACTTCCAATCATTCAGGAAGAAAATGGCTTGACATGGTATTTCAAAATATATTCTATCCAGTAATAGTAATAGGATATCCGAATACGTATGACACCTGTTTAGGGGCCATTACATGAAATTTATATTAAATTGTTTTACTTAGATTTTTTAGCGTGAGGGTATCTTTGTTCGACATTTATCTGTACCAACCTGGAATGTTAGATTCCCACTTCTTTAAGAGGGAGAACGTTCCAAACTCTACGCAGCATGTTTGTTACCAGAGTGTACAATTACTGAGTATTTGAGATTACTAGTTTAAACAAAATGTGGGAGTCGAAGATGCTCTTATTTAATTTATTGGTAAACTCTCATGACCTCCCAAGTTAAGCACGCTGTCCTTTCTTCTCTGTTAGCCTCTCACGGTGCACTGTAGGATGTAGGAAACCAGAGTAAGAGAAACTGGGAAAGGAATTAGTCTAGAAAGTGGGAAAGGAACTAGTCTTGGTTCTTGGACTAATAACTAATGTCTTTTTTTTTTTTGTGGCTGTGAAAAAATAATAACTAATATCTTGTCATTGTATTACTTTTGCCCATTTATTTGATATTCATTGATCTTTTGTAGCACATCAGGTATACATAAAAAAGTTTCTTATCCAAAAAAAGTTTTTTTTTTTTTCTTTGCAGGGAGATCTTGGAGCATATTTGAAGAAAAAAGGAGCATTAAAGCGAACTCTTGCTGTTAAGTTTGCACTTGATATTGCTAGGTTAGGTGTTTGAGATGGTGTTGGTACATCTATGAGATGGTAGGATGGTGGTTGGGAATACGTCTATGAGATCACCTCTTCATTCAAACAAGGTTGCTTCCAAGCCCATATTTTTATAATTGTTGGGGGTAAATTACATGGTCGCCCTTTGGGGTTAGGTGTATCGATAGAAACTTCTCTCCAAATTTCTTTCAAGTATGTAAAATGGGTGTTTAACTAAAATTTCAATTAGTTTACATAAGCATGCATTAGATGGAAAGGATTATGTTGAGATGGTGTTGGTACGTCTACGAGATGGTAGGATGGTGATTGAGAATATGTCTATGAGATCACCTCTTCATTCAAACGAGGTTGTTTACAAGCCCATATTTTTATAATTGTTGGGGGTAAATTACATGGTCGCCCTTTGGGGTTTGGTGTATCAATAGAAACTTCTCTCCAAATTTCTATCAAGTATGCCAAGTAGGCGTTTAACTAAATTTCAATTAGTTTTCATGAGCATGCGTGAGGTGGAAAGGATTATGTTGAGATGGTGTTGGTACATCTACGAGATGGTAGGATGGCGGATGAGAATATGTCTATGAGTTTCTGATTGGCTAGTCTCTCTCTCGCTCTAGTTTCGCAGGATTTCTTATTAATGAGATTTTTATGTGCATATTATTAGATCACCTCTTCATTCAAATTAGGTTGCTTTGTCAAATTGAATTCCAAGCTCATATTTCTTATAATTGCTGGGAGTAAACTACATGGATGGGCTTTGAGGTTAGGCATATTGACAGAAACTTCTCCCCAAATTTCTATCAAGCATGAAAAGTGGGTGTTTAACTAAACTTTCAATTAGCTTACATGATCATGCATTATTAGGCGGAAAGGATTATGTGGAGATGGTGTTGGTACATCCATGAATTCTGTTAGATTAGTTGGTGGTAGCAGAGTTATTTGTAATTTGATGAATATGAAGATGATGAAAGAGATTATAAGCTTGGATCACTATAACTCACAGTGTAGAAAGGTAGTGCTGGTAGTACAAGGAAACAATTATCTGAGACGAGGACAATTCTGTTACTGCAGAATAATGTGATTGAAGATGTCTGTTAATGCAATATGCAATTAATTAATGGCTGGAAAAGGATTCACGTTTTAGTTAAATAGAGCAGAAATGGGGACAAATTGGTAAAATAAAAGTTTCACAATCATGTATAGATAACTTTTCAAAGATTGTCGATGTCATTACACATGCAAACCTGGTAAGATTTCTAGACTGTTGCTTCGTTATTGTAGAAACAAAAATCCTTAGTACTGGATTTTAGTTGATTATTGCCTCCTGCATTCTGATGATTTACTGGTACCTTCATAGAATGTTTTTATCTATTGCAGGGGAATGAATTATTTGCTTGAGCATAAACCTGAAGCAATAATTCATCGGCATCTTGAGCCTTCGTACGTCTTCCTCTTAAATATGCATGTTTGTTACCTTAATTTTTCTCATAACTTTTTGGGCTTGGAACATGCATTTATTAATCCCTAAATGGGTAAAATTACTGAAAGCTTGTTAATATTTTATAAGTAAGATAACAGAAATATACTGCAGGATGATTCTGGGCATCTGAAAGTTGCAGATTTGGAGTCAGCAAACTGCTCAATTTTACAAAAACAGTTAAAGAAGACAGACCTGTGACATCTCAAGAGACTAATAAGTTTTCTACATTAGGCAAAATTCTGTATCCTACATTATCATCTATCTGTACTAGATGGGGTTGCTTGTGAATTACTGGACTAACCATTCGTTATGTCGTTTGTTGAGAGAGTTGGAGGTGGGCTGTGAAGCATGGACACGCTCGAGCTCCCCTCGTACCTATATCTGACATGGATATGCTGCCGACACATTGGAATATGTATGGGACGTGGGGCATGGCAAAAAATAAAAAAAGTTTGGAAGTGGTCAAGACATGGTGATGGATACATCGGGACATGGTAGAGGAAGGAAATAGGAGGTGGTGCTAGGTGTTTTAGGTGGCGGAAAACAGTAAAAAAGGATGGAGGTGCAAAAATTTTTTCCCCCTTTTTTTGTAGATCTAGACTTTTTTAGCTATTTTTGGGAAACCTAGCTAGTTAGTAAGAAAGTGGAGGTTGAGGGGAATTTTATGTGATTTTTTTGGAAAAAAAAAAGCCATTGGTGAATGATGGCTGGTGTGGCGGCTACCACTGGAATTTGGGTTGGTGGGGTGGCTGGAGGGAGAGTGTTTAGAGAGAAGAGGATGAGAGAGCAGAGAGGGAAAGAAAAATGAAACAAAAAAATTGAATATTTAAAGAGCGCCTAAATGGTGCCTTTGGGAAATGGAAAAAAGGGGAAAAAAGAAAAAAGAAGAAAGGGGAAGGAGAAAAAGAAAGAAAAGAAAAGAAGGAAGAAAAAAAGAAAAGTAAAAAAGAGGGAAAAGGTTGAAATTATTTAGTAAATTTAGTATCTTATAATCTATTAGTATTTAAAATTAAATTAATAAAATTGTAATTGTGTTGATTGGTTTTTTCCTATATAATTTTAATTGTGTTTATAAATGTATTTTATTTTACTTTTACACTCCATTAATTATTTTCTAATTGTGTTTAATTTATATTCATATAAAATATTCATAGATAAAAAAAATTATAAGAAATATTTTTTATTATCGTGTCCTGTTGTGCCTATATCGACAATAGCTATCTGTGTCGTGTCATATTTATATTGTGTGTCCATGTCTGTACTTCCTAGGAGGTAGGTTGAGTGATTTGTATCTTTGGTTCCTAATTAATGGTTTGCTTTACCTTGTTGTTTACCGGAGGAAAGTGTGAAGATGACAAACTAAAAACATTGGTTTTCCTGTCGGCTTTGGTAATTTGTGATTTTAATTTCACTTGAAGTCATAAAAGATAAATATCCCTACATTTTAATGGGAAAATACATTATGATGTATCCATCCTTCTTGAGCAGGGCGATATGTGGCACCAGAAGTTTACAGGAACGAAGAATATGGTACTAAATGTGTTTTCATTTGCTTTGATATTACAAGAGGTTAGAGCTTTTTTCCCTAACTCAAAAGTATCTTTGCAAGTTGTGATGTTGCTAATGTATGTGTAACTATTAACTTAAACTTAGGTGCAAGTGGCAGCCCTGGAAACTGGCCCCAGTTCTGGGAAAAGAAAATTATATGATTTTTTAGTTTATAAATTAGGCCTCTAATACTTGAACTTGTTAATAAGGTTTCATAGGCCCCTAATACTTAACTTGTTAATAAGGTTTCATCTGAACTTACTCTTTTTATCATCCCAAAACTTTGAAGCCTTATGCAATATATAATAATTTGATAGACTTAAGTTCAGAACTGAAATATGTTTATTTTAATTGAAATTGCGTTTATGATGTCAAAGGTTAAAAGGAATATCAGCACTCAAAAACTTAATACGGGAGGTGTTTACAAATCTCTTTTTGTTTGATTTTGTTAATGAAAAACATTCAGTAAAAGTTTATACGAATCTTACTTTTCATTTTGCAAAACATAATTTTGGTTAAAATAATTAAAAAACTTCTAGACTTTATCATTTTATTTAAATAAGTTTCTATATTTTTGCTGCACCCAAATAATCTCTTGATCTTTAATTTGCACCCAAAGAAACCTTTAATCTTTAATTTCTATTCAAAGAAGCCCTTAATTTTTAGTTTGTACCTAAATAAAACTTTAACATAAATTGATATTTTATTTGAAATAAAGATTTATTTGAATACAAATAAAAAAATAAAAGCTTATTTAGGTATAATAAAAGTTTAGGGATTTATCTAAATAAACTGATAAATATCAAGTTTTTTTTAGTATTTTATCCTATTTTTTCTTGTTAATTCTTATTTATGGTTTGTTTTATTCTTGACGTCTCAAAGTAATATCTGATTAAGCATTATAATCTTGAACAAAGAATTTTATATCCACAGTGCAGTTTAGCACTTGAGGTTAAAGAAAAAATAATCATGTCAAGAATTTCTAACATAAGCAAATCCTCATTTCTGATCAATATGCTTTTATGTTTACTAGGAGTTCCTTTGTCTGTCAAAGTTGGACATTCATATGTATATATGTACATATATCCGTGTATGCATGAGTGCGCGTAATATGGATGAATTTTCTCAGTGCTTTCTATTTCTTTATTTCTGCATTTTTTTTTTACTTCAGGAATGAAATGCTTTGGAGATATATAGCTGCTTGATCATTTATTTTTGGAACAAATGCATTTGACACAGAAATGTATTCACATTTAAATGCTTTTCTCATATGAATATGTGAATTTGCTTTGCTATGCCAAAAAAAACCTTTATTAAGGTTTTATAAAAATTCCTGAAACAAATTTATTCTTAATGTTATATACTTTAGAACTCAAAACTGACTAAACTATGTCTAAGTGCTACTAAACTATACAACCACTAAATAATTATACTCAGCATGCTAAAGAACATCAAATAAAAGTAACAATTATAGAAATGTAATTTAATTAGTTAAAACTATAATTAAATCTATCTATGTTTGTTTAAGTGAATCTCGAGTGTGCATGCTCGGTTTTATAAATTGTAATTTGGTACTCTCTCCACTTTATCCCCTTCAACAAGGTTTTATCTTTTTTTTTTTTTTTTTCTTTTGTCTGTCTCTTGATAAAAGTTGCATGCATAAGATCTATAGGGTGTCTTTTTACTTGTTATTTTATTAAGACTAACACATGTAGAGGTTGCGATAATTGTCATTTATCATTGCTCTTGATGATTGAAGGTTTTCCACCATTTCATACAAAGCAAGAAAATGAAGTCCCTAAAGCATATGTTGTGAATGAGTGCCCACAATTTTTGAGCTCCTGCAAAGTGCTATGCTCATGGGTTAAAGGAGTAAGTCCTTGTCTGGACCTTGTTTTCTTTATCCTTGTCTTTTCTTCTTCGTAAATCCTTTCTGAATTTGTTAATGAATTTAGAAAAGCCTTGTTGATACTTGGATAAGCATAAAGTCAACTACCCCTATGTTCGACCTAATTTATCTGAACTCCAAAAAAAAAAAATGGAAATTTATCTTTTTATTCTTGTGTAGTTAAAGTTTCTATTTCTATTGCTGTTGTGAACATTACTTGTTAGTGTACCTATCTGAAGTTTGTAGCTTGTCATGCATAATATCCCTTCTTAACCACCCTCTTGTAATTGCTTTCAATGTGAGTGGAAATTTGAAACTATGGGTACGCTCAAATTAGTCTACATTAGTATTTCAATATTTCAACGATTCAAATAAAAGACCTAAAGCCATAATATTGAAAACGTATTGAGCTTTGGTTGACGGTATTATATAACTTAAGCGCAATTATGATATTTGTTCCCTTTATGTAAGATGGAGAAGCTTGAGAAATACTGTGGGATGTGTTCGTGTAGATAAATGATTATGGTTTAGAAAGACTTTTTTTTTTTTTTTGAATCTAGCATTTTTTTAGTTATTGAAAGGGAAAAAGAGTACATTGTCAAAGAAAAAAAGTTTCGAAAAGAAAATGAAAAAATTTTCGGTTTGGAAAAAAAAAAAAAGAATAAATTATAAAGTAATTAAATGTTAATATTTTTAAATCTTAGGGAGCATTTTCGTATGCTTCAAACTATAGGATAGATTTTTTGTAATTTTCAAAATTTATATGCAGATATTACGGATGAGTGTAAATTTGGGTACAAGGGTTAAATATAAAAATGATTATTGAATTATATATTTTTGTGTCAGTTTGGCACTTAAATAAATAAAAATTATTATTTGATACTTTAATTTTTATTTTGTCATTCACATTAGTACTTAAGGATAGGTTGTCAATCAATTTGTTGATATGATATAAACATCAATAATATGTTGACATGTGTTAAAAGTTCAGTTAAAGTTATATCATCAATTATTATGTCAACATTAAAAGAAAAATTTTAAAAAATTTACAAAATTTTAAAAAATTTGAAAAAAAATTTAAATATGAAATATTTTAAAAAATTATAAAGAATTAAAGTATTGAAATATCTAAAAAATTAAAAAAAATATTTTTAAAATTTTTAAAATTTTAAAGGAATTTTTAGTTTTTTTTTAATTTTTTATTAATAATGATGTGATACTGAATGAATTTTTTTGACATGCATCAATATTTTATTAGTTGTTTATGTCATATTAATAAATTGACTAACATCATTAGTCTAAAATATCAAAGTAGTTGATAAAATAAAAATTCAAATATTAAATTAATAATTTTATTTTTTTAGACATCAAATTAATTGAAAATGTACAATAGGACTATTTTTATTTTTAAACCTGGGTACAATAATTTTTTCCTTTTCTTTTTATTTTGGTTTTATAATAAATTTACTTTCATAAAACCTTAAAATTGTTTGACCGATTATCGTTGTCCTATGTAATTCAAGATTAAATATTCAATTTAAGATTAAACTTTTAATGTGTGGCTCTATAAGGAATTAAGGATCAAACATTGATTCTGTTAAACAGTGATTGAATGTTTTCGACATTTTATAGTTCAAGACAAATCGTGACAGAAACTAGTAGGTGTAACACACGCACTTTTATATTACGTGAACCAGAAAAATAAGGGATGATTTAACATATTGTAGCCAAGTGTAATTAAACATCAGCACATTTTTTAGCCAAATGTTTTACATGTTAGAAAAAAAATTCTCGATGGAGAAAAAGAAAATTTAGACATTCTTTTCTCTCTCTAATCCTCCCCTCTTTCAAATGTTCCACTTCATGAATGGACTATGATAAACTCTATCTTGATGGATTTGAGTGTTTTGCTAAAATTATCTTGTGGAGATTCCACTGGATTTGAGATTTTAGGAAGGATGAAATAATTGGAAAAACCCACAAAAACCTTGTAGCTTGTGAAAGAATAAAAAATCTGGAAAAAATCATTTCTAGAAAATGGCATGGATAAGGCAGTAGCTATGATTTTATAAACATCATAACTGGATGGGCTTGGGATTTTCAACATCAATTTATCAGGATAAAGCCATGAGAAGGTAAAAAGGTGTGTTGGCCCACTTCCTCTTGTTTTTTCAAGTGGATTTGTTCAAATCATGTCATCCAACCCTCTTTCTTCAACAACGAGACAAAGAAGACAATGCATAGGGAAAAAGATTGAGTTGAAAAACATCATATGTAGTGACCATCCTAAACATCCACAGCCATCACAAATCCATCATATTCATCAACTTCCACCTACAACAATGACAAAAATAATC